CCTTCAGACTTCACCTACTTCATTCTGACACCTTGATTTTATTTAAAAGCAAAGTAGCAAAGTAGACTCTGCCCATTGTGAACTACAGACTTGCTGGTATTTCTGAAGAGGTTATTGGCCTTTCTTCTGTGCTAATACCATCACTGATACATTGATGTTATGTGATATATTCCCATAACTTACTCGTTCAACTACACTGGCTTATTTCTTGTAGCAACTTGTGAATCAAACGGAGACTTCTTTGAATGTGTAATTCCACATTCAATGTAAGCGCCCAGGCATTTTCCCAATGCAGGTAATCAACCACAGCGCTGACTCAGTGATGCCCAATCATGTTACATAAGAGAAAGCAGATGGCGAAATCATGCCTATCCCCTTAATACTGTGGCCCCCAGAAACCCTATTGTCTAAAGAGTCTGTTTGGTCTTACCAGTCCTCAGGAAAAAATGCAATGAATGAAATAGTGCAGCAAACTAGCTCTGTTTAAGCAGATGATGTTTATTTACCTTGCCAAGAAAAACATATATAGATTCTATCCACAAAAGTCAAACTCAAGCAAGAATGGTGATTGCTAGGGAGAAATGAGGAATAATTAGTCAAATGGTGCTAACTTCCAATTTACAAGGTTAACAATCTGGGGGATTAAATATGTATGATAGTGTAGGTAATAATATCATATATACTTTAAGGTAGCTAAGAGAGGAGATCTGAGAAGTTTTCACCATAAAAAAAGAAATGGTATCCACACTAATGGGATGAGGGGATATTTTGCAACAAATAAATGTGTTAAATCAATACATTGTACATATTAATCTTCCACAATGTTATTGTCAATTTTATCTCAAAATAGGGTAAGTTAATAAAGAAAAATATGTTATATAGATTCCGGACTATACTCCAGTTCAGACTGCAATTGAAGCTCGGAAATCATTCTCTTTATGACTTTCCAAGGGTAAATACTGTATTCAGTCAGGTTTGGGTATTGAAGGCCAAAATTTTCAAATATACCACCAAGCCCTACTCAAACTTGCAGCTTTTTTTTTAATTATAATAGTTTATTTTTACATCATTTTGTGCCTTTTTCCATCTCAGTTGTAATCCCCGTGGGTTTCGCATCACCAAATCACCCATGTCCCATCACCATAGTTCTGTGCACTCTGCCCCTCCCCCTCATTTTTAATCCTATTATCCACTCCACCCCTGTAAAATGTCTCTGGTATATAGTTGTTTATTATTATTATTTCCCCCCCTGGTCCTTTATGCTCCTGCTATGAGCAAAACCATCTGGTATTTTTCCTTTTCTTTCTGGCTTATTTCACTAAGCATGATCCCTTCCAGCTCCATCCAAGTTGCTGCAAAAACACATGCGTTTATCTTTTTTATTGCTGAGTAATATTCCATTGTGTATATGTGCCACATCTTTTTAATCCAGTCATCTACTTTTGGGCATTTAGGTTGATTCCATGTCTTTTCTATTGTAAATAAAGCAGCAATAAACATGGGGATGCAGGTGTCTTTCTGAATCAGTATTTTTGTGTCTTTTGGGTAGATACCTAGGAGTGATATTGCTGGGTCATATGGAAGCTCCATTTTTAGCAGTCAAACTTGCAGTTTTAATCCTATTTCTTTCTCTTCAGCCTCTGGCTTAAGGCTAAAGCAGTACTTTCTCACACTATTTACCAGATATTTATTTCATTTATCAAATAAAGAAAAACCCAGAGACATTAAGTACCTAACTCAAGGTCACACAGCACACCCATAAGAGTACACATTTCATACCTAAGAATGTGAAACTTGACTGATATCAAAAGGACCAGAAACAACAAGTTTGTCAAGGGTGTAGAGAAAAAGAATATTCATACACTGTTAGTGAGAATATAGACTAGTCCAGTCCCTATGGTAAGCCTGCAAAGGTGAAGGTTTCTTAAAATATTAAAAGTAAATCTACCATATGATCCAGCACTTACATTCTTAAGTACTACACAAAGAATTACAAGCAAACACTAATTGGGAGGGATATATGTTCACTGCAGCAATATTTACAAAAACCAAGTTATGTTAAGTCTAAGTGCCCAATGACAAATGAGTGAATTAAAGATAGATGTGATAAATACACACACACACACACACACAGTGGAGTACTATTCAGCTATAAAAAAAGAAAGATAATTTTGTCATTCTGACAATACATATGGAACTGAAGGGAATTATGCTAAGTGAAATAAATCAAGAGAGATTTATTTACTTGTTATTATGCAGAGAGATAAATACTGAATTATTTCACTAATTTGTTGAATATGAAGAAACACAGCTAAGGAATAGATGATGCTAAACCAAAACAAATTCTAGAGATCTTACTATAGAATTGAGGCTACTAGAAAAGAGGGCAGGAAGGTGGGAAGTAACAGGGGAGGAGACCCAGTGGACTGACAAGGGTATGGGTGCTGTGGTGGTAAGTTTGATGTGGTAACAGACATCCCAAGAGGTTTGGACCTATACCCCTAAATCATTTACAGGGTTAGAAGCCAATGTTAATTCAATTAAAAAATAATTATACTGGCCCTCCCTGGTGGCTCAGCGGGTTAAAGCACAGCACTGAGAAGCTAAAGCCGCTTCCGCATGAGTTCGATTCCCCCCTGCCCCGGAGGTGACCACATGGCGTGGCAGACCTCTCCTGACCCGCCCGCTGCTCCCCTCAGCAGTGTACTTCGTCGATCTGCCTGTTCTGCTTCCCACTCTGTCTCTGGTGAATCCTCTCACCCTCCGCATCTCTGGGCTGTACCCCAGTTCTGTATGAATAAATAAATAAATCTTAAAAAAATAATAATAATTATACAATTTTTTTCAATGAAAGAAAAAAATCTGGGTGTTTTGGCCTCTATAGTCAGCTGATTATTCCTTTTATCTTTCAGTTGTAGCTTTATATACATGTGTAAGTAATATGGAAGCAGCTAGGAACCTTCCTTGAAAATTGGGCTCAAATTTGAGTAATGTAGATATTAACCCACCAGCAACATTTTCTCTTTCTGAAAAAGACTTAAAGAGACATATCAACCAAATAATGGTAGGCTTTTGGGTTCTAATTTGAACAAAATGTAAAAGTAAAAAAAAATATTTACTGGATTTTGAATTACATTAAGGAATCATGTTTCATTATTTTAATAAGCCGTACCCTTCCTTCCTTCCCCAGACCTTATATTCACAGAATGAGTATTGAATGCTGTCTGATAACTTTATCATGGTAACAGTTTTCAAATTCTTGCATTTTAGAAATACACATTGAAATATTTATGCATATAATGGCATCTGGGATGCTTCAAATCCAATAGTGTGGTGGTGGGGGGGGGGTGATGGAGGGAAGTGACTGTGATGAAACACAGCTTGGGAAAAAGATTGTCCACAAATCGCTAGTTATTCAACCCAAGCATTGGATGCACAGGGCTTATCATGCACTTTCCACTTACTTTATAAATTTCCCATTACAAACATTTTTTTAAAGACTTTTATTAATGCATACAAGAATTAGGGTACAGGCCAGAGGTGGGGGATTGAGGGGATTCACCAGAGACAGAGCTAGAAGAACAGGCAGACCTATTGAAATATACTGCTGAGGGGAGCAGTAGGTGGGTCAGGAGAAGTCTGTGCCATGTGGGTCACCTCCCTGGCAGGGGCTGCAGTCTGTGGACAGCTTCATGGTGCTGTGCTTTAACTCCTTGCACCACCAGGGAGGCCCCTACAAACATTTTTTAGAAATCACTTCTCTCAAAGGCTGACATGCATTTTATTTGGTTTACCTATATAATAATGTACATATTAGTGAGGCTCAAAATCTGACAGAATATCCATAGCTTTATGTCACTCAGGGGGAAAAAAAACTGTTGCAGGAGAAAAATACCGGCCACTCACAGCAGAAATTACAGTTCTCCAATAATAGGAATCTTAAAGTAGCTATACACTTCTCCAACCTGTTACACTGTGAGGGGCCTAAGTCAGCAGCAGACTTAAAATAATAAAAGCAGTTTGGAAAATCATAGAAGTATAAAAAAGCAATCACACATTTCCTAAGAGTTTTCACACATATGAGTTTGCTTGGAGATTGTTAATTGCCTCAAATTAAAATGACACAGTTCCAGATCTGACAAGGTCAGTCACTTTCTAGTTAGGGTGTCATTTAGCACCCATTTCCAAGTATGCACAGAGAAGGGGAAGCTCAGACTTTGAGGCTATGAAGCGCCTGCCTTCTTCTTTGTCCATGGTCTCCATCTCTCTGATTCTACAAATTTGCCAATTTGAAGGGCTGACTCTGCCAGCGTTCATTGAGACTTTGGTTGTATCAGGCTCCTAAGTTAAATGAAAGGTGTTGGTGATTAACGTTTTTAAATAATAATGAAAATGCTATTCTTTCAATGAACATGTCAATGAAATGTGATCTATTTTAAATATTTCCATGAAATATGGTACTTCTGTGCAAGAAAACACAGCAAATAGACATGTCTTTTGACCTAAAAATAGCAATGGGGAATCTAAGGGAAATTGAGGTAGATCTCTGAAAAGATAATGCCTGGTGTGTTTTTCTTCCAGAACTCCAAATAGTTGGCTTGGCAGGCAGGCTGTTCTATAACTGCTGCCTTCTGAAGACTCAGAGGTGTTTACATAAATTGAAAGTTCCAGCAGTACATTTCCATGAGCTCATTACCAGTTCCAGCTAGTCCCTTTACATTTCTGCATGTACAAATAAATACTCATGTCCTGTAAATCCATGCTTTGAGTTTTTGTTTTAATTACAAGTAGCAGAAGTGACATGTGTGATTACCGTGACCCGAGGGCATCTTTTCCAATCTCTGCTTTGGTCACTTTTCAAAGGAACTGCAGGGCTGCTTCTTACCCGCCTCTTATGCTAATGAGCTTAACCCACTTGGGTTAAGCTCCTCCTCCTTCCAGGCTCCTTTAAGAACTGTTCACTTTCAGCTGTCACGGAGGGAACTCAGACCAGACTTAGAAATCACTTCTTTTAAGTCAGTAGCACTTTTTTTCTTTATGGATGCATTACTCTAACAGTCCTCTCTACTTGAGGTGTTGGATTTCATGTCAGCAGGAGTAAGGAATTGCCAAAACTGTAATCTGTTACTTTGTGAGATGTTACTCTAGATTTGATGCATTTTGAAATGAAAGAAGAGCTAAGTTGGGTTTTTATCCAAATGAATTGGCATCTTTCTCTGTAGGAGAAGTTACATTAGTAAATATTTATTTCAAGAACCATGGTTAGGAAAAACCTGGACATTTATTAGAGAAGTAAATGTTTTGCATTCAAGGACGGGATCTGCCTGTTCCTTTGTGGTTCTGGGTGTCTTGTGCAGACCAATTGAGGTGACTGGCCACGGGAGGGAAATGCCCTGGTGGCACTGGAGCCACAGCTAGGCTGCTAGTACCATGTCTAGTCTACAAAGAAACGGCAGTGGCCACCTGTTCAGTTTGCACACCTGTAAACTGAAGCTTCCAGGGGATCAGCAACAACAAGGTGAGTCAGTCAATAATAGGTGGTTTGTTCCGTGACTTCCTGTCCATTTCTATTCCTGGAAGAATGGTGAGCCCGCAATGATCCGGCTGTGAAATTCTTTGCAATCTTCTGTTTTTAAATTCTGAAAGTAGACATACTTGGTATGCTTAAGAATGGATTAATTTGGATTCACTGTTTTTAAAGGACTTTGGAAGATTGTTAGAAGTGTGTATTCCTTGGAGTTATCATTTTGAAGCTTCTGTGCTTGAACTTCTAGCCACTGTCATTTTTCTAGACTGTGTGAGATTTTGTGTAATTCCAAATACCTATCTGGGTATGGTTGGATCAACTGAGGGGGAATTCAGCTGAGAGTAGCTTCTCGTTAGCCTAGAACTGCCTTGTCCCACCACTAATTTGTGAATATTTTTGGACTCAGAGTTTAAACCTATTTTTGTCTGGATCCCTGGCTCATTCATTTATTGGAAAAATAAATATATTTCGGCTCTTTTCCTTTTATGGTCCAGGAACAGTTGGGCACAGCTGGGGAGAGTGTCACATTTCACAAGATGGGCATTCATTCAGATTGAACTATCTACCTTGCTGTCGTTTTCACCATCAGCCTTTTAAAATTTCATAGGCACTAATCAGCCAGCTGCATCAATCAGTAGCAGATGGTTGACACGAATAAACAAAGTGATCCCTCCCATCCATTCTGTCAGAGACAGCAGAGGGCCCTTGTAGGAAAGGCGGTGTGCAAATGACATAGTCATTCCCCAGAGAGTAAAGATTTATCCAGACGTATCTAAATTCTCAATAACCAGCCATGGATGTGCCTATGGATGGATTTTGACTAAAAACTCTTTATTTACTTTCCTTTAGAGACAGTTTTAGATTTCAGTGGCATGGAGGGTATTGGCTAAGGGGCTGAAACCTCCCATTTCAAAGTGGCTTCTACGTGCTAACATTCATGCCACCTCCTCCATCAGTTCCTGGAGCTATACAAGGTGACTTCATGCTGTACCAGATTTAGCACAGTACAGACAGACTTCATGTTAAATGAAAACAGTGTAAACTTTGGAGATCATTCTGTACCATCAGGGTTTAAATTATTTTGAACTAGCAAGCAAAGGATATAAAGTCCAGGGGTGTAGCAGGGTTTACTCATAGCACGTAAAATAGAACAGTTAGATTATATGAGTGTGTGTGTGTGTGTGTGTTTGTATTCCCCTTTTGGAAGGCAATCCTAATTTATAATAGATTTTTTGTTTGCTGTTCATTTTGTTTGACATGTTTAAAGCTACCTCCTACCACCCCCAATTGTTGATGTCATATTTATTATAGATATATTTGGTGGAGGGGCATATAAAGGAGAAGGTAAAAATCACCAGTAACTCTACTAACCAGACAATTGCTGTGAACATTTAATGTGTAGTCTTTCATCCCCTTCTGTGTACATGAACAGATTATTCTTTTGCTTGACTTTGACATGAAAAAGTTTTATTTTGTACATAGTGTTTTGTAAATTGGTTTCTAAATGAACAAGATGATGAACAAATTTTCATATCATTATATATTCTTCTGTAAGCCTATTTTTAAAAAAGATGTATTTATTTATGCATATAGAACTGGGGTACAGGCCAAAGGTGCAGGGGGAAGGTGGGAGGATTCATCAGAGATGGTGGGGAGCAGAACAGTCAGATCGATGAAGTACACTGCTAAGGGGAGCAGCGGGTGGGTCAGGAGAGGTCTGCCGAGCCATGTGGGTCAGCTCCAGGGCCGGGGATCGAACTTTTACTGAAGTGGCTATGGCCAGCTTGCAGTGCTGCTTCCTAACTCTTTGCGCCACCAGAGAGGGCCTGTAAGCCTATTTTTAACAAACGCATTCATATGAATGTAACAAAATTCCGCTAGGAAGAACCATTCTGTTAGATGTTTCATTTATTTCTGGTCTTTCACTACTACAAACAACATTATGTTTAACATAAATTAATTATAGATAAAGCATTGCAGAGCTGACTTTTTTTTTAAAGATTAATTTATTTATGCATACAGAACTGGTTTACAGGCCAGAGGTGCAGGTGCTGTGAAAGGATTCACCAGACAGAGTGGGGAGCAGAACAGGCAGATCAGCGAAGTACACTGCTGAGGGGAGCAGTGGGCGGTCAGGAGAGGTCTTATGCACCATGTGGTCACCTCTGGGGTGGGGATCGAATTCATGTTGAAGCGGCTTTAGCTTCTTAGTGCTGTGCTTTAACCCGCTGCGCCACCAGAGAGGGCCGAGCTATGGCTTTTTTGGGGATCTATGCAGTCAAAAGACATGCATGTTTTTGAGATTTTTTTTCCGTTGGTCAAACGATTTTCCAATCAGCAGAGTAGGGAAATATTTTTAGTATTGTTTGGAAATAAACAATTATTTCCCAATTTTATATATGTTGTTTTAATTGAAAGCAGCCTTTCTCCGTGGCCCCTTCCTTACTGGTCCTAGTTAGACCAGCCTGGAAATAGAACATATTCCCCAAAATACCAATAAGACTTGCAGTCTGGTCTCCTTTCTCAGACAGAAGCTTTTGCTTCTGTTTGATTTTTTTGAAAGCAACCATATTCTTCCTCAGCTGAGTCTCAAAATATCTGCCCACATAAACCACACTTCATAAAGTTGTGAAGTGTGCAAATGTAAGCCAGGCAGCCATGAGCTGTTAGAAGAAATGTCACCTAGAGTCCTGACTTCACAAGCAGCCTTCACTGGGCATTTGGCTGTTCTGCCCCAGGTTGCCACTTACTGTACTAGAGTTTAAAAGCTGATTTCCCTCCAAGCTATGCACCTTGCTGGTTGGCGTAGCAAGGTCCAGCAAAGGTGTAAGGAAGCAAAACCATTTATTTCAAAGAGTGAAGTTCACCTGTGGACTTATTTATGAGGAACTCTGCATTAGTGACTGTGGTCCACCCCCAGACAGGTGAAGCTTCCAGCTGCCAGTTAGCATACACACCAGGATTAACTGAGCTTAACTCTTTGGAGGACATGACCAGGTTCAACATAGTACTCTCTAAGCGTCTATGTTACTTGCTGAAGTGCGTTATGCTTAACTCCAAGGCATTTAATTCTTTCCATCTAGTCGCCCACAAAAAACATACTTTGGGGCCAACCACACAGATGAGACACTTATTATTCAGCAGTTATCTGGACAATGGCTGTGCTAATCACTGTGCCAGATGTTATTGTGTAATTTGAACTCAGTCAGCTAAGCTATGGAATATATACTCTAGAGTTTCCACTCTGTGGCAGAGATGTTTTTGTCCAGATCAGATTTGTCCAGATTTTGTCCAGATCAGATTTGTCCAGATTTTGTCCAGAGATGTTCTGTCCAGATCAGAAGTCTAGGAGATGCCTCTCGGATTTGCTGCTGTCTTGTAGCTTTACCTGTGATATTTCAAATCCATTTACTTATATTATTGCTCCTCAACAAAGTTCAGATCATATTACATGTACTAAACATATTTAACCATCTTTGTGTTTTATAATAGTTTAAAATTTACCAATATATGTAGTTTTACATACTTTATTACATTTAATTTTCCCAGTAACCAGGGGAGACTTTATGTCCTGGATCCAGAGATCCAGAACCAAGAGATTATGTGTGTGTGTGTGTATGTGTGTGTGTGTGTGTTCATGCAGGTGCATTTATGAGAGAGAAATTTCCTTTAAGGAAATGACATGATTTTGGAGAATGGCCAGGTCAAAATCTCCTATGTGGCCTAGCAGCCTGGAACTCCTCATAAGGTTGTTTGCTGGTAGAATTCCCTCTTAGTCAGAGGTTAATCTTTTGTTCTATTAACACTTTCAACTGATTAGAAAAGGTCCATTAACATCATAGCGGGCAATCTGCTTTAAATAAATCTGCTTTAATTTAAAAGTAAATCTTACCCATAAACATCCAGAATAATGTTTGATCAAGTATCTAACACTATGATACAGTCATTTTTACACATACAGTTAATCAATGACATCACTATCTTCAGTATTAAAGATGTTGAAACCGGAATTCTTACATCAAGTGATTTGTGTATATATAAAGTTATTTATATAGTTAATAAAGGCGACTTTCAATGCACTTTCCTCTCTATATATTGCTGTCCCACAAAATCCATAAAAACTAGTGTTATAATGTTTAATTTTTTCTCTGATTCATATCAGAGAAGCTTCTCTGTAGACATTCAAGGTATATTTAGGATTCACCCTGCTTTCTTTTGTTCTGATAAGAACTCTCTGATACCAATTGGATATCCTAAAATTAATTTGATTCGGAAGTGTTAGCCAGAGTTAGCAAAGACTCTTTAAGTTAAATTAATGGACAAAACTGTCCATTTCAAATGTCAGCTATACATTTCAATTGTCCCAACCCATCTGCTCTTCTGCCTGGGTAATACAAATTCAAGCCTTCCTGTAAACCCTTTAGGTTTTATAATTTACTAGAGCAACTCACACAACTTAAGTTCTATACATTTATACAAACAATTACTGTTTATTATAAAGGCAACCCATGCAGGATCTGGGGGGGGGGGTTTCTGAGCACAGGAGCTTCTGGCCCCATGGAGTTAGGGTGCACGCTACCCAGTGTGTCATTAAGTTCAACAGCCAGGACGCTCCACTCAAGTCTGTAATCATGATGAAGACACAAACCAAATCATTTGCCATAATTGAACTCAGTCTCCAGTTCTTCCCTCCCTGCAGGTCAGAGATTGGGAATAGCTTGAAGTTCCAACCCTTTAATTGTGCTCCATCTTTCTGGGTAGCCAGGCCCTCCCTCAAAGCTTAAGAGCCCATCCCAAGTGGCCTCACTACCATAACAAAGACAACTCTCAATCAAGAAATTCAAAGCTGCTTTTGAAGCTCTGTGTATAGAATAGTGGGCCAAAAAAAAAAAAAGATATATTCTTTATTATATCACACTTGGGCCATGATTTTCTGGATATGTTCTCTTCAGGATGGTTTCCTGCTGTCAAGAAACTTACAGCTCAGGGCA